TAACAGCAATTTCTAGTGCACATAATAGAAATCTGATTCAAGGCGGTTTAAGCAAAAAGGATTTACTGGCTCAGGGAACTGGCAGGTCCAGAGGTAGAGTTTGTCTTGGGGACCCTAAGATGTCAAATGACATAAGAAAACTCTGCCACTCCCCTCCTCAGCTCCCCTAGGTATTCTTCCACATGATGGAGGGAGAGTGCAAAGCTCATATCATCCCAACTTAGTTGACTCCAAAGAAAAGAGAGTTTTGTCTTCTACTATCCATAGATGGATGGATGGGCAAATGATAGGAAGGAAGGAAGGATGGACGAGACATAAAATTCCAGGGGAGAATCACATTTGGCTTTTCTTGGGCCATGCTCCCACTGCTAGTGACTGGGGATATGGGATTTTATGGTTGCCCAGGCCTTAATGACATGTCCACGCTTGTCATCAAGGGGCTAGAGAACCACATGAAGTGAGGAAAGGCAGTTTCATCTGACAAAAGGCTGTCATCTGTTACCCCAAAAATGGGAAGACTAAGGTGTTGAACAGAGACAAGCTACAGACTGGTGTTTGTATGTGTGACCTAGAAGTTGTCAAGGTCTCCAGACTCCTTCAATGCTCAATGGAAAACAGCTGGAGCTCCCGGCTGGGATTTTCCCCTTTGTCTGCAGAGGCCTGTAGCCGGCCGGATTCTTGCTCTCTACAGCTTTGCTCCCAGCATGGACGCAAGCCCCTCCTCTAGTTCCCCCAAAACAAACTCATAACATTTAACAAAACTTCATTGAGGGTGTAGAGGGAACACAAGGAAATAACAATGCAGAGAAACAAAACACAAGTGGGTGTGAAAGCCTCTGGCTCCTGGCTCTCCACAAGGTCCCCTTAGGAACCTTTCTCTAGTTCTTAGGAAGCCATTTGTATACTCTCCCATTTGAGAGACCACCCATTGCGGGAGAAAGTTAAACTCTCAATATTAAAATTAATCTTAATTAACATAAAAGGTAATGCTAATTTAACTCCTCAATAGATTTATGCCATGGGTGCAGATCTACGGTTAGTATTTCATGTATGATGGGTTTGATCCACAGGTTCTCCATTTAATCCTTCTTTCCCATTCCTGCCAGATTAATTATGCTAAACCACAGCTCTAATTATAGCATTTTCCCCAGTGGTGGCTCCTCAGTATTCCCTGAATTAACTCCATGTTTGTTCTCTGGCATTAGAGATTGAAACTGTAGATACTAGCCTGAACCATAAGAAAGTGCCATTTTCATGGGAAAAAAATGATCAAATATCAGTCATTTCATATGGTCTCTCCTAATATTTACCTCATAATTAACTCATTACATTTCTCTACAGCCTTTTTCTTTTCCATATTGTAAGATTTTGGTTTCTTGGAATTTAAATGCTTAGCCTTGAAACTGCCAGCCTTAACTGCTGGACAGGGAAACAAAAACTCAGAAAAATAAGAAAAATAAAATATTCCCTCTCCTCTTACAACTACAGAGAATCAGACACTATTGTATGGCACAAAGCCAGTTCCATGTCACAAAATTAGAACTGGGAACATTCACTCAAGAGTCCATCCCACTCTCCTGGCCAGTGTGGAGGCTCGAGTAAAAAGTCATGATCCTGTTCTGTGTTTTGTTACTATTAAATTGTCCTTGGAAGTGTTATACAACAAAACAAAGGAAAAATAATGTATCACTTAAAATACCTGGATATTAGAGGTTGTTGCTATGTCTTGTAAGACAGAACCTATAACATCGAAAGTTCTGTAACTCTGATTGGTTGTTTAATAATGTGTTCCTCCGACAATAATAATAAATTGTCAATTCTATTCTCTGTAAGGTAACAAACATTTCTGTGATATTTACTTAAGTGGACGAAAAGCTTTGGAATTTCTTTCTCTTCCTTTAGGCATGAAAGTGTTATAAATTCCATGACTCTGTTGGATTCTTTATTCAAACACTGGAGTCTTTGTCTCATTATTACCAAGAATATCCATGATATGGGGCCATATCTTTCATTTCCCCTTTGCACATACACCATTCTATAATAGCTCCTCCTCTGTGCTCATCATCCTCCATCATTCATTGCTTATGCTGTTTCTCTACTTGGGATGTCCTCTTCCCTCACCGATGTCAACCGATCGAAATTCAAACCAAGATCATCTAAGACCTTTCCCAGTTCTATCCAGTAAGACTTATCTTTAATGGCATTTGCCATAGTCTCCTTGATTTATAGTCTTTAGTATAGTTCCCTTCTCTCTCTGAGTAGACTTTAAGCCCACTGAGGGTAGAGAATGTCCCTTCCTCTTACTCTTCTTCCAAATACATAGCAAAAGACTTTACATTTAAGCCCATTCTCAATAACTGAAAAATGGAATTGAAGTCTACGACTGATACTGAGTCACCGTGATCTAATTGACCTCTTAAAACCAAACCACTCTCCTTCCACATTGTGGAAAGTCAACTTTCCATCACACCTTGAAAAATCTGGGGCCTGAGTCATTGTCACTCTCTCCAACGGTACACTTGGAGGAATTCTTGGTGATTTCAATATCCACATAGATCCTCCTTCCCATAGCCTGGCTTCTCAGGTCCCCAACTTCCTCTCCTCCCAACAATTGTGTCCTCAACCTACCACAGGCAGCCACTTCCATGGTTGTACTGTAGAAATGGTCACAACCAATAACTGCAACATCCTGCCCTCCAAACAATACAAGATAAAACATCATTTCAAAACAACTCTGGTTTCTCAGAGTATGAAGAAGATGCATAGCTCCAAACAACGCTTCTTAAAATCATTCCCTTCCGTCTACTCCTCTCCCAGTAGAAGCTCCAACATTTCTGTACAGGAGCAGCTTAGAGACCAAGAGCAATCTGCTGGGAAGGGTACAGAACACTAGGGGGTTTATTTTGAAGCTCTATTTGCATAGCACTTTACACAATTCTGAGAACATCACTTTCCATACCTAAGAATGTGCCTGTTATGGATTGAATCGTGTCCCCTCAATCAGCTTGGCTGGGCCATGATTCTCAGTGGTTTGGCAGTTACGGAATGATGTAATGTGGCAGTTACGTAATGATTCCCCATGATGTGATCTGATGTGATAAGCCGATCAATTGTAAAAGGAATAGGGTGGGATGCAGCATCCTTAATCCCATCACAACCCAGGGGAGATTCCCTGGGGTGTGGCCTGCAACACCTTTTACCATATAAGAGACAAAAGGAGAAAGAAGCAAGCAGAGAGGGGTGTACGTCAGGGTTGTATCTTTTCACTACACTTATTCAGTCTGTATGCAAATAATCTGAGATGCTGAAATGTGTGGGAAAGAATGTAGCATCAGAATCGGAGGAAGACTCATTAACAACCCACCATAAGTAGATGACACAACATGGCTAGCTGAAAGTGCAGATGACATGAAGAACTTACTGATGAAGATCAAAGAACCCAGTCTTCAGTATGGATTACACACCAACATAAAGAAAACAAAAATCCTCAAAACTGGACCAATAGGCAACATCATAAGTGGGGACAAGATTGAAGTCTTCAAGGATTTCATTTTACTAGGATCCATAATCAACACCCATAGAAGCAGTGGTCAAGAAAGCAGAAGATGTGTTGCACTGGGAAAACCTGCTTCACAAAAACACTTTAAAGTGTTAAAGATTAAATAAGTCACTTTCAAGACTAAAGTGGACCTCATATGCACGTGAAAGCTGGACAATGAGTCTGAAGACCAAAGACAAATGTAAGCATTTGAATTGTGGTGTTGGAGAAGAATATTGAAAATACCAGAGACTGCCAGAAGAATGAACAAGTCTGTCTTGGAGGAAGTACAGCTAGAATGCTACTTAGAAGCAAGAATGGCCAGACTTCATCTCACATCCTTTGGTCATACTGTCAGAAGGGACCAGTCCCTTGAGAAGAATTTCATGGTTGGTATTGTAGGGAAACTGGCCCCTTTGAGCATTGCTGGTGGGAATGGAAAATGGTGCAGCCCCCGTGGAAAACAGCTTGTTGGTTGCTCCTCAAGTGAAATAAAGCACAGCAGTTTCACTCCTAGATTGGTCCTCAAAAGAAATGAAGGCAGGGACTCATGCACCAGTGTTCATAGCAACATTATTCACGATAGCTTAAAGATGGAAATAACCCAAGTGTCCACCAACAGAAGAACAACTGAACCAAATCCTGGTATATCCATCCAGTGGGATATTGTTCATTCACGAAGAGAAATGAAGTCCGGATACATGGTAAAACACGGATGAACCTGCAAAATTTTATGCTGAACGAAATAAGCGTGACACAAAAGGACAAGTATTTCATGAATCCACTTACATGAAATGCCTACAATACTCAAATGTCTAGAGACCCACAGATAGAGACGCCATAAGCTGGGGAGGGTGGAATGGGGAGTTGATGGCGTTCTGGTGAAAAGTGTCTGTTTGGGGGGATGAAAAGTTTTGCTAATAGATTGTGGAAAACGGTGCCCAACATTGATTGTAAGTAATGCCCCTGCCCTGTGCATTTTTAAATGGTTGAAATGGCCAATTTCATGTTGGATCCGTATGACCAGAATCAAATGTAAAGTCATAGAAGCCGGTCCTGCAGAAGTAGGTGGCGCTCCACGTAGTAATGATGTAACTATGTCCGCGAGGCTCTGCCCTGGCGCGCGCTGCGCCCCGTGACCAGAGGGTTCCGAGCGCACCGACACACCTCGCGCTGTCCTTGCGTTCTGATGGCAACGGTCACCCAGGCTCTGGGCGCTTCCTGTCGAGCCATATCCGGAGACACTGGGGACTTCTCAGAGATGAACCCTAATGGAAGCCATGGACCCCACCACACTGCCCCCATGGGAAACTACCTGGGAAGTAAGCGGGCCCCGCCCAAGTCCACGTAGGCGTTGCCAACCCCCGGCCAGGTCCCCTGCCACACCCCTAACCTGGACCCTGTGGCCTGGAGGCGAATCCAGGTGCATCCCAGGAGCCCGCCTGACTCCATGCTCATTAACATGAAGAAGGTGCTGATGCCTGTGGCCCAGGGGCGCTTCCCCAACCAGCCGCCCTCCCTGAGCTCGGGGGTACCCGAGCTCTCGAGCACTGGGGACACCAACTTGAAGTACAGACCAGTACTCACCAGCCACCACAGGAGCACTCGGAGCCCAGTGAAGGTGCAGATCCTGCCCCCGCCACGCAGGGGCGCCCTCTACACCCTGCGCTTCCAGCCCGAGGAGCAACCAGACCCTGGCGCCTCGGAGACAGGGCTGCAGGCCCTCCGCCAGTGCAGCAAGGGGAAGGAGAGTTTCCACGGGCCCCTGTGGCTTGAGGTCCCTGAGGTCAAAAGAAGGAGGGTCAGTCCAGAGGAGAAGCCATCTGACTTCAGTCCTGTGATGAAGAATGGCGTGGTCCCCGCCTTCGTGCCCAGGCCAGGCCGGCTCAATGGGGGCCCCTGCTCCCAGAGTGTCCCCAGCAGCGAGGCACAGCTGTGGCCAAGTGCCTTCAGGCGAGTGGTGAAGAATGG